AATGAAAGAGAACGCAAAGTAGCAGTAAAATTTCTGCCCCACTCTTCCTTCCTTCACCTTGTTGTCACTCTGACCCTGACCTTAATAAAACATTTCCTGCTAAGTATGAGCAAGGTAGCCCTGTAGTGATTCAGCTTCTATGCTTGGAAATAATTATTCTGCCAGCAGATGGTTTTAGAAAACTTATTTTAGAACCTGCTTTGGAGGAGAAAACTGCAGAGATGGGAAGCGTAGACCTCGACAGAAACAGCACTTATGTTACAAAGTAAAAAGAAAAAAACAGCCTTACAAAAATATATTCAAGATAATAATACCTGTGGTGTTTTAGATTGATTGTATGATGTCAAAATCATAACAGCATGTGATTTCTAAGGTCTGCTTGCAGAAACTAACAAGAACATAGTTTCTTCAGGTCAAAGATAAAATAGGTCAGATGGTCAGAACGCAGATGGGACCTCTGCTGTGTGCAAAGAGAGGAGAAGGAAGTCCAGTTATATCTGATAAAATATCACGCTGACTCTGTTCCGCTGTGTGTGTGACCATGATTCAAAACAGCAGGAGCAGCAAGACGCCATGATTTCATTATTTTCTAAAAGAAAGAGATAAAAATGACTCAAGATTCTCTATTGATCTGTGAGACTGTGATTCCTGATTCGCTCCAGAGAATAAAAGAAAGCAGAAGAGCCTGTGTGGTGATCATACAGAGACTGATTGTTGAGAGGACTGCGCCTGTACATCTGGAACAGTGGAAAGTTACTAAAAACATGAAGCAACGAACAGAGCCCCTCTAAGGGAAACACAGGCTGCCAAATACTGTGATGACTAAGAAAGAGAGCATGGACCTTAGTGAGTTTTTTTCAGATTTGGAAAGAAGTCTAGGATAGAACACAGGTTTGAACTCTAGCTTGAAAAACACATCTTATTAGACCCGCCACAAGACATGCAGTTAGATAATGTTTATCCTTATAACTGTTGTCGCCTTAAACCCATTTATAGACAGATTACCATTGTAAAAACCCATTAAACCTATAGTAATGCTTTTGGTCCATGGGCGTAAGCTACAGTTGCAAGGGTAAGAACATGCAAACAGAAAGAATCCAGGTCAGGATTTGAACCTGGGACCTTCTTTCTGTAAGGCAACAAGGCTGAAACCAGAATGTAATATTATATCAAACACAAACTAAAGCAGTTTTTTTTGTGCCTCTTGTTACTTGTGGCTCTTTTATTCTAAAACACCTTTAATATTTTGCTTTGCGTTCTAACATAAGTTATGTAAGAAGCCTGTTGACTACGAACTACGGCAAAGAGGCCCCACTGACACTGCCTTTCTCCCTCCCCGTTCAGGACCTAGAAGCTACACCAATGTAGCATCTCCAGACCTCCTGTGTTACATTAACTCACAGTGTTGCACTGACCTGCTAATTGGCTGCAGCCCAGGGCGGGGCTATTAGTGTTCACACCTGAAGTGCTTTGCCTCACATTGGTGAAGGCATAATTGACACCTAGGAAAGCAGCTGCTAATTTCTTGCAAGTTTTGTAAGAGACTCGTGCTCAAAACTAGCTGCAGAGAATTGAGGGCCCGCTCAGAACCACTCGGAGAGCAAGGCAAAGGTTTAACTGGTTTATTAAGGAAAAGGTAGAAGGGAGTAATCTGGAACTCAAAGAAATGGTGAACAGGAACTAGGAAGTCTGGAAAGGATATGACAATGATTAGTTCAGGGACCGTGGGAATCTTGGATGCCGTAAAGATAATACTAGTGAGGGACTCACATTTGGGGGGTTTCTTCTCTCACTTTGAATCCAGTAAGTGTGGGTTTAACCTGAGAAGAGGGGAAACGTTGAAGAGTGGACAGGTAAATATTCTTTGGACCCGGATGAGCAACGGAGTGGACTGTCACTTAGACTTCCAGGAGAACTTGAATGGTAAATGTGAAGATTTATCCCCTCCTTAGTGTGAAACTCAAACAATCCTTTCAGGGGAAGAAGGCCCAAACATCCAGTTTGCATCCCCTGCTCAATGTGAATCTCAAACAATCCTTTCAGGGGGAGAAGGTCAATCATCCAGTTTGCAGGGTGAGTTCCTGCTGAAAGGCAAAGACAAAAAAACAAGGTTAAAGCTCAGAGAGACAAAGACTCAGTAAGACTCAGTGAAACAAAGACTCGGGTTAGACTCAGCTAATCTAAGCATGGCTAGAGTTCCCAAAACTGGCAAACACTCTGGTGTCGAGGTAGTGACAGTCCACTGCTTAAGTACTCCTCCAGATAATGATCCAAAGAGCCGCAGGTGTGCAGGGAGGACCAACAATGACAGGGCGCCACCTGGTGGTGGAGGGAGAGACAGACCACACAAACTGGAATCTTGATGGTGCTAAATTAGAAATACAACTATTTAAATCTGTTTAGTAGCTGTGTGTAGAGAAGAAAGGTAAATATGCAGAAATAGTATAAAGTTATCTCCTAAGGTGCGTCCTGTTCAGCTGCTTTTATGAAAATATTCTTTTAGTACTTTAATGCAAAGCAAAACAAAATGAAAAAAAAAAAACAGGAAGGAGATGGTAATTGGCTTCTGCCTTCAAGAGTTCGGAGCCTGAGAGAAGACAAAGGATACTTGCACAGAACGGTATGGATGTTTGCAGAACAGGATTTAATCAATCAGTGAAGCACATCTTTATTCCTGCAGCTAAATATGTCTCAAAGCAGCTGAATTATTACAAAAACAGAGGTTTCTATTCGATCTGTATCACTGTTTCTAATGCTTCCCTGAAAGAAAATCTGATGCTGAAAACTAAACATCTGTGTTTCACTTCTGAGCTTCAGGCTGGAGACGACTTAATACATTTGCTACTTGAGTTCATGTGTCCTAATGTCTTATGTAAAAAAAAACCTGGAGAGTAACAAGGCAACATATAGACATAGTGTTTTTAATAGCTGCAGGTGCCTTAGATACACCAGTTCACAATTAGGTTATCAGCCCATCATACATAAGGGCTGGAATTTGGTGTTTGTTGTTTTTTTCCCTTTAACTTGATCTGAATACTTCAAATAGTTGTAGGACACTTTATTTTTACTGTGCTGAAACAAGATTTCTCAGCAGGGCACTCCCTTAGAGATACGAGGAGGAGTTCGGTCATCCTCAAAGTAGAGACACTTCTCCCCCACACAGAGAGCAGACAGCTGAAGTGGCTCAGACATTTTCTTGGATGTCCTCTGGACGCCTCCTCAAGAGATGTTCCAGGCACGTCCCAGCGGGAGGAGGAGGTTCAGGGGACGACCCAGGACAAACTGAAGGAACTATGTATCATGGCTGGCCTGGGAAGCGTCTCAAGCTTCGCTCAACAGAGCTGGAGGAGGTTTCTGAGGAGAGGGAAGTCTGGGATTCTGCGCTGAGAATCCTGCTCTGTGACCCCGTCCTGGATAAACGGAAGGTGACGAGACAAAACTTTAAACTTTGAGGATGAGCCAAAAGAGGAAAAGTCCAATCCAGTCGGAAAAAAAACGAACTTGTATCAATATTGAATGGTTTTTAAATAATATGGAGAATATTTCATACAGATCAAGCCAAGTGACCAATAATACCAGAGTGTTAAGACTGTTGGTGACTATACCCATCCCTTCACAGGAGCTGTGCTGCATATTTCCAGAAACATCATGTCCAACCGGCTCCTAGCCAATGAATTAACTAAACTTTAAATGCCTCTATCTAAACAGATCTCTATCTAGTCGGGGATCTTTTCAAGGGGGATGAATGTGGATGTCCCTTCTGATCACATATGTCCAGCTGAAGAATTACAGTAACTGTGCGATGCTGACATGTCAATGGGGACTGAAAGCTTAGAGGAATGTTTCTAACAGGTAGATGAATCGATGCCATGGGTAAAGCTGGTTATTGTAGGAGGCCAAGATACGTGAAAGTATGATGTCTGGGGATATACAAAAGATTTTGTATGTATTCCTTTTTCAAGGATATTTAAGGAACGTTTTCCAGGCCAAGGACCCCTAAACTGATGGCAAGATGAAGCAGGGACCCCCTAATTATATATTTTGTATGAAATAGTGTTCTATCAAACTGGTCCTATAGTAACTCTATTACAGATGGAGTAATGTAACGAAAGTAATTTCTCCCTGCGATTATTAAAGTATTTCTGATTCTGATTCCTGGTTGATGGGACAGGTGTTGTGAATGAAACGGTGCCCAGCTTGAAAGAGCTCCTGTGTGTCGTTGAATGTGTGCATTGATGACTGAAAAACATCTTCTGCCTCCATTTATCTGTTTACTACAGTGTGTTGAATTCATGTTTATGTATATTTAAAGCTACAGTGTGTAATAATTACAGGGATATACAGTCAGAAATGTAATATATTATACATAACTATGTTATTTATCATCATCTACGAGCTCAGCCTCTTAACCTTAATATTTGCGTTGCCCTAGAATTCGTTATTTATAATTACATAGGAGCGGGTCTCGCAGCCATGGAGGCAGACATCTTTGCGCTACGGCAGCGCAGAGCCAACAAACTAGCGATTGCGAGATCGCCCATTACGCTCAAAAGTAACTACGGCAAGTTGAGAGGGATGAACTGAGACGATACTGAACACACAGACTAATGAAATACTATCTGTAAAATTATCTATGTAAACAAACCTCATTACTTGAGAATGTAGGTGATGCGGACGTCGTGGACGACATTTTGTCCCGTAATGCTCGCCGTACTGTTTGGGGGGAGAAGCGGTGGGGGGGAGATGTTCATGTTGCTGCGGTCTGCAGTCTGGACGTTAGATGTCGCTGAAAATTACACACTGTAGCTTTAAAGACATTTCAATTAGTGGTAAAAAATGCAGGGTGGAATATGAAAAAAAGTCTAATCAAAAAAAATTTTTGCGACCCCCTTGCAGTACCTTCGTGGACCCCCTGGAGGTCGCGGACCCCCTATTCAAGACCTCTACAATAAGGCAGCTGGAACATAATTCAGCTCTGTGAGGTCCTATATTGTCGCTCCTCACTTTCAACTTGGAGATCCCACCTAAGGCTTTTCTTCATATGCAGTGGGCTTCACTAAACCCTTAAGCTCCAACCCTTGAAACTATCAGGTTACACTGAGCAGTTTTAATGCTGCCCAGGTTTTTCTTGTTGTTAATGATGGAGAACAGAGTAGACGCAGCATTTAACTTCTCTCTCCAACCATTCTGCTGGTGAGTAACTAAATAATCAACAGAGAATGTATTTTTGTTTACATGACTGCTCTCTCTGGGTTTGGGTCTGAGCCAGAGGAGTTCAGATATATTTGTGTGTTTTACAGCAATAGTAAGGTAGAAGTGGGGTGGACAGATGTCTCTGCAGTAATGTGGACGCTGCTGAGGTCCTTTGTGGTAAAGAGAGAGCTGGGCCAAAAGCCAAAACATTTCGATATAAATGTCTGTCAATATCCTGACCCCCCCCACATATAATGGCTTAAATTTTGTTCCATTGCTGCAAGAAAAGAACATGTTTTGTGATAAATCAAAACCAGGTATTACATTCAATAATACTTTATTAATCCCAAAGGGAAATAATGTTGAAAATAAATGTTGCAGTTTTTTATTTCTATCACGTTTATGCGGGTGTTGAAAGCTGTAGGCAGGGTTCTTCTTTAGTAGTCTGTCTTGCACCAGATCTGGAGAAGCCTCTGACTGAAAACATTTTGTTGTTGTTTAAAAAATCTTCTGAAGAGGATGCTCACTGTTGTTCATAATGTTCTTCCCTTTATGAAGAATTCTCTTTTTGTTAAATAATCTCTGGGGTTCTAGAGGATTTCCTAGAGCAGAACCTGCCTTTTTTTTATTATGTTGTTGAGGTTTTTGAAGCCATTTGATCTGATGCTGTTTCCCAGGTAGATGATTGTGGATGAGCTCCCACTCTGTAGCATCTTGTTGCAAACACTGAAGGACCTAAGCTTCCTTAGGGAGTACAATTTGCTCTGTCCCTTCTTCTAGTTGGCTTCACAGTTGCGTCTCCAGTTCAGTGTGTTGTCCAGGAGAACACCAAAGTATTTACCTTTGTCTCATGATCTTAACAGAATTCAATTTGTTCCTGTGTCATCTGAAATCTACAATCATTCCCCTTGTTTTGTTGACCTTCAGGATCAGATGATTGTTTCCACTCCATAACAAAAAATTGGTTCACTAACTCCCTACACCTAGATTTGTGTCCATCTTTGATGCACCCAATGAATGCAGAGTCATCTGACAATTTCTGCAGATGACAGGACTGTCTGGCACTGGAAGTCAAAGGTGTATAGAGTAAAAAGCAATAGTAATGGAGTTTTTCACAAAGTAAGTAAGTCAGGCTGAATTATGTTAAACGTTTTGGAGAAATAAAAGACTATGATCCTGACAATGCCGTCTGCCTTGTCTAAATGACAGTGGGTTTGTTAAAGCAGGTGTACGATGGCTCCAACTTCACAGTGATAGCTGCTTTTTTGTTTGCTGAGGTGTACCAACAGAAGTCTCTCTAGGACCTTCCTGATGTGGAATGTCAGGGCAACAGCTCTATAATGACTGAGGACTGTTGGCTGAGTCCTTGACATTTGCATGAAACAAGTCCAAAGCTTTGTTTTCTGTGATACAGCAGCTGACACTGTTGGAACATTGGCAGAGTAGCAGAGAGTGAGGTGTGATTAAAATCACCAGTTAATGCCATAAATGCACTTGGCTGTTGTGTCTGGAGCTTGGCAACAACAGAGCTGATTTCCTTACATGCAATGTCGGCAACAGCAGAAGTTGAATGTAAACGATTAGTAACAGAACACTGGTAAACTCTCTAGAGAAATAATAATATGACTGAAAACCAAGTGCAAACAGTTCACTATCTGGGCTGCAGTGACTTATACGCCATTTACACTACCCTTGAAAAACCGTGCCGCGACCGGTCTGAGCTCAGTAACTGAGATAACTTATCGTGTGTAAATGGAAAGCAAACTGAACTGAACCGAGCTAGACAAAACCGAACCAAGCTAACTGCAGACCAGCTCCAGAGGTGGGCTCGGCTCGGTTTTTCCCTGGCTCGGTCCTCTGATAACAAGTGCGCATGATCAGAACGCGTCATCTCCGTCTGGCTGCACATCCCGATTCACACTCCCTTGGCGGTAATGCCCCGCTAGAAACAGAAGAAGAACAACTTTTTCTTCAACTATAAACAACAATCGAAATCTTCTCCACGTAACATTTTAAATAATGGCATTTTAAATAATAACACCGAAGTACAGCAATAATAATCAAGCATAACTTTCTGAATGTGACGGGCGCCGCCATTTTGATTTGCTTGATTCCCTCCTTCTTCATCTTCTTCTTGTGTTTTATGGCGGTTGGCAAACAACTTTTGGTGCATTACCCCCACCAACTGCTTGATTTCCTCCTTTAATACTGGCAGTAATACCGCAGATCGTCACTAGGAGGCGAGTCGAGGAACCGAGATAGCGTGATGTGTAGAAGGTAGTCAGAACCGAGCTCAGCCTGGTTAACTGATCCGAGCTCGGACCTGTCTCGACATGGAATGGTTTTTCAAGGGTAGTGTAAATGGGGTAAAATATTCCCAGTAACATGTCCTGGATGACACCAGCTCTTGTTCACAAGCACTGTCAACCCACCTCCTTTGAGTTTTCCTGTGTTCTTTAAATCTCTGTCTGCTCAGATGGTTAGAAAACCTGGCAGAGAGACGCTTGAGTCCGAGGTATGATCCTGCAGCCAGGTTTCAGTAAAACTAATAATGCTGCATTGGCAAAGATCTGGCTGGGTCCTTGCAAGGGCTTGTATTTCTTCTAACTCTAGTCCTTAAGATCTGACATTGCCCATAATGATTGATGGAAAAATTGGCTTTTATTTCTTTTTTCTCTCTCATCTTTAGGCTAGTTGCTATGCATTCCTTGTACCTCGATTTCAACACAGCTGGTACTTCTGGAAGTAGTTAAAGTATTGTCTAAGCTTTGGAGATGTTAATTAGCTGCTCCCAGTTGTAAAAATCAACTTCCTATGGTCACTGTGGTGACATATCATGACAAGTATTAAAAAAGGACAAAAATATCAGTAAAAATCCTTTCAGTTTCACATCACTCAACACTAGAAGCAAAATACATTAGAAAAAAGAAACTCTGACCCACAAATAGAAAAATTAAAGCTCTTGAAAAGAAAGAATATAAGAGTGAAGCTAGCAGAGCTAATCCAATTTGCAGCCACCTTAAGCAGCGCAATTTTCGAATTGAAAGTACAAAAGAAAATAAAAAGCTCAATCAAAAGAATATTTTGAGTAATTTTTTCTGTTTTGGCTGATCTTTTTCTCCAGGATGGAGTCAAAGCCAAACAGGAACAGACAAGATTATGCTGCTTTTTATAAGCAAATATCAAGTAATGCTTTTATATTTAACTATTCTCCCAAAGTTTAAAAAATCTAATACAAAAAGGAAAGTGTTCCCATCGCTTAATGAGCTGTTTGTAAATACAAACATCTAAACCTACATAGACATGCGTATGCATAGAAATGTACATGCATACATATGTTTAGAAGCTACTTATTAGGTCAAGAGTTGGGCTCAGAGATCTCTCTTTAACTGTCTTTCTGAGACAGAGACACCAGAGGAGCAAGTTTACCTTAAACATTTTCTAATATAGAAAATATTTATAGATCAGTGTTTCTACAGGTGCTGGTCATAAAATTAGAATATCATGAAAAAGTAGATTGATTTCAGTAATTCCATTTAAAAAGTGAAACTTGTATATTATATTCATACATTACATACAAACTCATATATTTCAGATGTTTATTTTGTTTAATTTTGATGATTACAAATGACAACAAATGAAAATCTCAAATTCATCATATCAGAAAATTAGAATATTACTGAAGACCAATAAAAACAAAGGATTTATAGAAATGTTGGCCAACTGAAAAGTATGAACATGAAAAGTATGAGCATGTACAGCACTCAGTATTTAGTTGGGCCTCCTTTGGCCTGTATTACTGCAGCAATGCGGCGTGGCATGGAGTCGATCAGTCTGTGGCACTGCTCAGGTGTTATGATAGCCCAGGTTGCTCTAATAGTGGCTTTTAGCCCTTCTGAATTGTTGGGTCTGGTGTATTGCATCTTCTTCTTCACAATACCCCATAGATTTTCTACGGGGTTAAGGTCAGGAGAGTTTGCTGGCCAATTAAGAACAGGGATACCATGGTCCTTCAACCAGGTACTGGTAGCTTTGGCACTGTGTGCAGGTGCCAAGTCCTGTTGGAAAATGAAATCTGCATCTCCAAAAAGTTGGTCAGCTGCAGGAAGCATGAAGTGCTCTAAAACTTCCTGGTATGTGGCTGCGTTGACCCTGGACCTCAGAAAACACAATGGACCAACACCAGCAGATGACATGGCACCCCAAACCATCACTGACTGTGGAAACTTTACACTGGACTTCAAGCAACGTGGATGAAGTGCCTCTCTTCTTTTCCTCCAGACTCTGGGACCTTGATTTCCAAAGGAAATGCAAAATTTACTTTCATCAGAGAACATGACTTTGGACCACTCACCAGCAGTCCAGTCCTGTTTCTCTTTAGCCCAGGCAAGACGCTTCTGACGCTGTCTGTGGTTCAAGAGTGGCTTGACACAAGGAATGCGACAGCAGAAACCCATGTCTTTCATACGTCTGTGTGTGGTGGTTCTTGAAGCACTCACTCCAGCTGCAGTCCACTCTTTGTGAATCTCCCCCACATTTTTGAATGGGTTTTGTTTCACAATCCTCTCCAGGGTGCGGTTATCTCTCTTGCTTGTACACTTTTTTCGACCACATCTTTTCCTTCCCTTCGCCTCTCTATTAATGTGCTTGGACACTGAGCTCTGTGAACAGCCAGCCTCTTTAGCGATGACCTTTTGTGTCTTGCCCTCCTTGTGCAAGGTGTCGATGGTCGTCTTTTGGACAACTGTCAAGTCAGCAGTCTTCCGCATGATTGTGTAGCCTATAGAACTAGACTGAAAGACCATTTAAAGGCTTTTGCAGGTGGTTTGAGTTAATTAGCTGATTAGAGTGTGGCACCAGGGGCCATCAATTTTGAACCTTTTCACAATATTCTAATTTTCTGATATGATGAATTTGAGATTTTCATTTGTTGTCATTTGTAATCATCAAAATTAAACAAAATAAACATCTGAAATATATGAGTTTGTATGTAATGTATGAATATAATATACAAGTTTCACTTTTTAAATGGAATTACTGAAATCAATCTACTTTTTCATGATATTCTAATTTTATGACCAGCACTTGTATGTTCCTATTGTATGTATGCTTCTATCTCCTTGAACCCCAGTCAGCCTCGACACAAGACCGCTCAACCAGAGCCTGGTTCTGCTGGAGGTTTTTTTACGTTTCAAAGGCAGGTTTCCCTCTACTGTTGCTGTATGCATGCTCGGTGTGAGGAATTGTTGTAGAGTGAACACTATGATGCAAATTAATATGTGAAGGTCCGGGGGGGGGGGAGGTTATGTCAGGGGCAAATCCTGTTAATTTAATGACTGTATGCAAACAACTGGTTTTCCTTAGATTGACAACTTTGAACCTTGAATCTGACTGCATGACTGATTGAATTTACCCTGTAAATTACCTTGAGATGACTTGTTGTGAATTGGTGCTATACAATTAAACAGAATTTCATTTATTTGACCATTTGTGTTTATCTAAATTTAGAAAGTTAACTTTGAGCTGTCAGTGATTTTGTCAGAGTCTTGGTTTGTTGGTCCCTGTTTTTCTTGGTTTTCCATTTGTTGTCCTCTGCTCCCCTCTTGTGTCCTCTTTCCCTTGCTCTGTTTTCTGTTCTGCCCTCACCTGTTTTCAATTCCCTCGTTAGCCCTCTCTTTGTCTCTGTCCCCTTTAAAAGCCCTCCCTCTTCAGTTCCTGTTTGCTGGATCCTCGTCTAGCATCTGCCTGCCTTCCTCGTCTCTCCCTGGCTCCTAGACTTTGGTTTACCTCTGATGTCTCCTTGGTTCTGGTGCGTTTGTTATTTTCTGTTGGATTTTGATTCCTCCTAACAAACACCGCCTCATGACAGATTTAGTTAGAAGAGATATATCTTCTATCCACCATGGACAGATATTGCTTAAGACATTTATGTTCTACATATTTATGGCTGATGCTATGCTACTGTGTTTTCTTAATGTGCTAGAATAGCATCGTCATTGGTTGCTTTTATACTTTTGATCTAATCTGTTGAAACAATCTCCTCACTGAAGGTACTTTATTTTGATCAGCCAGTTACAACAGTTAAGGAGTTTTTCTTTTTTTTTTGGTTAGGTGGGACCACTATTATTTATGGTCATGAGAAACTTCAACGCTTTTGAACATCCAATAATCAGAGGTTTCTGGGTCTCTCAAACATCTTTGAAATCCAAATTCTTTAGTGGAACCAGTTCTGATTACACACTTAAAGGACACGCCAAAGCTATAAAAAATAAAGGAAAGGAAGAATATGTGTTTTTGGCTCTTTTTCCTCCTGATTCAAATTCTTTTCAGTACTCCTTTCCTTTTTCCCCCCTCTTTAACCTCCCTATCTCACACATCTGGAGGGGATCTGGTGCAGATCTGTGACTGCTTGCCTGCTATGGGACAGACAGAGTTTGGACCACACATTACTCTTCAGTACTTTTTTCACCAAATGTTCTTAGGGGTAAAAGTACTGCAGGAGCTCTGCTGCTGTATACTTTATGGTTGCTGTTATGTTAGACGGAGCTTGCGCTGAGCTTTGAGTCGAGGTAATTCATCTATGCATGGCAGTTCTGACTTCTGGCATGTGTAGGACTATCTGGATAGTTGAATATAGACAACAGGCCTCTGATACTTCTGCAGATAAGAAACAGAATGAAATCATGGACAATAAAACCGAAAGCATATAGATCCATGTGTGTGTAAGGCAAAACGTATGTTGATTTCACAATATTATTCAGGGTGGTATTTATCTGTAGCTGCAGCTTAGTAGAGGGTATCCGTGAACATCTGGAATCAAACTCCTGTGGTATGCATGCCTGGGCATGCTCGTTTATAAAGGATTTACAAACCTTCTACAGAAGGAAAATATGATCAGCGAGCCCATGAGCTCCACTTGGAGTGGACCTGTATAAGAGCCCAGGCATCTGTGGGAACGCCGCCACCTAGAGAGGAACCCACAGGGACCCTTTACAACCACATGGACATTAACAAGCACTCAATCAAGATGCGAACTGAGGCAAACACTGAACTAACACTCCTCATACATACATTATCACCCAGGTCTTTGGGCCAATCCTCCTGGGGGAACATGCCCACAGACCCAGGAGAACCCCAGACCCCTCAGTGTGGGAAGGGGGCTGGCAAAAAGATGGCTAGAGGAAGCAAGGAGAGCCATCCGAGCCATGACCATCCCCATGGTCCCAGCACTCTCCTCGGGCAGAGAGGAGAGATCAGAGGTGTGAAAGACCCCATACACCCCTCGGATGTATTGTTGTTGCCTTTTGGACTAATGTGTATTTAAAACCAGGGGGTAGGGTAGACGTGCACTCCTCACCTCTTCTATCCTAAGTGTCTGAATGCGTTCAATCCTCACACCACAGGTGGACATGAGCAGTGGTGTCAAAAGTACACACATTTATTACTTAAAGCTACAGTGTGTAATAATTACAGGGATATACAGTCAGAAATGTAATATATTATACATAACTATGTTATTTATCATCATCTACGAGCTTAGCCTCTTAACCTTAATATTTGCGTTGCCTTAGAATTCGTTATTTATAATTACATAGGAGCGGGTCTCGCAGCCATGGAGGCAGACATCTTTGCGCTACGGCAGCCAGAGCCAACAAACTAGCGATTGCGAGATCGCCAAAACGTCACAACGATGTAGAAAAAATAACGAATATATTTATTATCTTAAGTCTGCAAGAAATCTATACCCTACACAGACTAATGAAATACTATCTGTAAAATTATCTATGTAAACAAACCTCATCACTTGAGAAGGTAGGTGATGCGGACGTCGTGGAAGACATTTTGCCCCGTAACGCTCGCCGTACTGTTGGGGGGGAGAAGCGGTGGGGGGGAAATGTTCATGTTGCTGCAGTCTGCAGTCTGACCGCTAGATGTAGCTAAAAGTTACACACTGTAGCTTTAAGTAGAAGCATAGATACTGGAGTTTAAAAACACTCTGGTAAAAGTTGAAGTATCAACTAGCCCTCTTTACTCAAGTAAAAGTGAAAAAGTATGTGCTCCAAAAACTACTTGAAGTATAAAAGTATAAAGTAACCTTTAAAAAAAACAGCCAGATGCCACTAAATGAATTGAAAGCTCAATTTACGACAATTTCTTTGACATAGGGCCAAAGATGAGGAAGGTCTTGTTGGTCTCCATCTCCATCCCCCGATAAGCTCTCACATTGTAGCATGGCATAGACAATTTGCTTTTGCAGTTTGAAGAACACCTGCTTGCTTCTGATGATTTCCTTTAGCTAACCAATGAGTGTTTGCGTTATATGACTCATCCAATCACACTAGTTTTCACTAGATGTGGATGGTGCCAATGATCTGCATTGGATGCAGCGCATGACGGAAAAATTAATATTTATAAACATTAAATCGAAGTTAAGAGTAAAGAGTAACGGTTGCTTTAAAATTTTAAGGAATAGAAAGTACAGATACTTGTGTGAAAATGTAATGAGTAGAAGTCAGAAGTAGGAAGAAAAATAAGTAATGGAGTAAAGTATAGATACCTAATGTATACCTACAGCAACGAAGTATTTGTACTTCGTTTTTTGACACCTCTGGACATCAGCATCGGAAGCCCACCCTGATGCCCTACATATCTTTGTCTGTCCATCACTGATGCTTCCCCTCACCTGCACTATCACTAACCTGACTCCGCCAGATGGATTTGCTCCGCATATCCATCTGGAAACGTTCCGTTTAAGTAATTTTGGGAAGGGGCGAAAATACTGGTTAGCTGATTGGCCTATGTTGGCGATAGACGGGCCAAATAAACCAATCAGATCAACGAAGCACATGACGTACTAACAGAGCGACGACGAAGAGGAGCAGATTGATAGATCAAACTCTTGCCTAAACCAGTCGGGAGAAGAGCAAAAACATCTTTTCCTCTGAGAAAAGCCTCCAGAGCAGTGTTTTGCTCTTCAACAAAATGAAGGTTCAGAAGTAACACAGTAAAAGTCCACATATGTTTCATATCCTGTTTCCTGATCTTAAACAGGCTGCTAATGCATAAATAAATCTTCCAGTGTTGCTCAACTGAACAATTTCTGCAAACTAGAGTGGCTCAGGTTTCTTGCAGTAAAAAAATGACTGACTATAATTAATTGGAAACTCTTGATGGTAAAAGTCGCCCCTAAGGATGGGGCAAGCAGTCGATAGGTTTATTTATTTTTTTTTACATTTGAGTCAGGTTAGCTGCTCTGATCAACAACAGGCTATTTCCCTACAAAGCTGCTCTACACCCAGAGCGCAGAGGGGCTGCTGCTCAGAGAGTAGAATTCATGAGGATTACTCAGACATGAACAGGCTAATTAAAATACCCCTTTTGTCCATGAAGGGATATCTGTATAACAAAGTTTAAAGCACAAACATGAATGTGAATTTTGCAAGATATAGACCCTTTAAGCTGTGTATTAAATCACAAATACAGAGAAGATCTGGAAATATTTTTTCACTATATTGTAAAGATGTCATTTGTTGTGTGTTTGCATGTGCAGCAGAACCGCCCAACAGTAGACATGGACTTTCCAAAGCATACCATTCTGCAGGCCTTCTGTGTAATGCTCCTGGCATGGATGCTGGTGCGCTGCCAGACCCCTGTCGAACCTGAGCAGGAAGAGGATGAAGAGGTAGTGATGGAAGCTGACAATGCAACTTTGGCAACATCCGAGTGTCCATCTGAATGCAGCTGTACGGCAGACGGAGCAGTGGACTGCGCTGGAGTTGACCTTACAGAGTTCCCAGAAGAGCTGCCCAATAAAATTCGCCGTCTCTCTCTACAGGTCAAACACAAATAAACAGTCAGTCGTTTCAGAAACAACTACTCATGAGCAATTTGACATTTGTTTTGCCCAGAACATAACGTTCTGCCATTGTAAAGATTGCATGTTTTCTGATTGCAGAACAACAAAATCAAGGAAATAACAGTGGAGCACATTTCCCATCTGCATCAGCTTGAGACTCTCAACCTCCAAAATAACTGGCTGACCACAGAAGGTAAACACAGTGACCCAATCGCAACACTACACCGGAGCTCTGTGTTCACAGGGAAGCAAAATACACGCAGCGTTCCAAGGGCGTTCTGATCAGACAGAAAGGAAAAGTTTAATAGTGCAGTTTAGACGATTGATGCTAATATCCTCAGTAGAAATCTCACTGGGGCAAAATAATTACTGTTATTATATTCATTGTCACCTCCTGCCTGTTTCAGCTGTTTGTGACAAGTGTTTAAATACAGAACATGAAAACAAGAAATAAATGACAATAAATAGGAGGGAAAGATTTAACTGTTTTGACAGAAAGGTTTTTGAAGTGTTGGAGTAGTGAGGTTTTGCTGATGGTTAAGTCTGAAAAGGACTTTAAAAAAAATAAATCTATTTTTTCCCACTGCAAGCCCTAAGAAAGAACTCGATCGACTAGCATTACCATTTTGTTTCTCATCCGTTTCAAATTTTTATTTATTTACTAAGGTATGAGGCTTTGTTTTAAGAGATACTCCAGCCTTGACATGATTCTTGGCACTAGTTCTGGTCTAATTCAGGATTCATCTCACCTGTCAGCTCCACCCCATTCCCAATCATCCTCCATCAGATCCACCTTTAGGTTTTAACAACAGCTTGCATCCATTATTGTTGCACTACTGCCAATGATTGGATCTAAATATCTATCCATACAATTCACATAATGATCCCAGTATTCAAAAAAAAAACAACTGAAAAATCTTCTTTTCCCCCTAAATACTATTTAACTTTTCAGCCACATTTTCAAATTTCAATTCCCATTAAAACAGAATTCTGTTTATAATAATGTTCTTTCATTAACATATTTTCTATAACTAATAAAGACATGTTCCATTATTTCTGCATTATCACGCCAACTAGAAAAACCAGTACTGTAAGTAACTATTTTGTATCCTATTATCCCACCTAATTTTCCATATCTTCTTGCTTTCTCTCCAAGCTATACTTTTGCCTTCAGATTTAGATAACTTTACTGGGAAAACTCACTTGAAGGAGATGAAAGGATGACAAACAAGCAACAGTGACTGAGCCGAATGTGCATATATGGGAGAGACAAACAAAGACCAGGCTACCGGTAATCAGCAGACTGGGAGCAGGTGTGAACAGAAGAGTCTAGAAGGGAGCTAGGGGAAGGAAAGTGACACAAGAGGGCAAACAAGAAATACCTAAGAACTCAAACACATCCAGAAAACAACATAAAATAGAATTTAAACCAATAAAACTAGAAAACAAAGCAAAATATGGATCAAAGGGAAACTGAAAAACTCAAAAAGAAAACCTAAACAGAACCAAAACCGTGACTTTGCGCTGTCATCGAAGCTGACTTTTTAATTAAGATAAGGTGGTTAAAATAGAATTTTTGACATAAAGCAACACAAAACAGTACATTTTAAACTGCAACATGAGTGAATTCAATTCCATCAATAAAATCCAATGAATTATTGAGACGCAGTAATAATTAAACTGATCTGAACTGGCCCTGCGGCAGATTGGGGACCAGGCCACGGCGTACCCCACCTTTGGAGATAGACACCACCATGATCCCGATGGTTGGATGGACTGAACTGGCATAAATACTCTAATTAACATACATCTAAAACCGACTTAACAGCATTAAGTTATTAAGAATAACTAGAATGCTGGATTTAGTGATCGTAATATTGTTTAATTATGTTAAAAATAATAATCTTTGCATTTAGTCAACTATGTTTAGTTGAACCAGTTGACATAACTTGGTGATATAAATTGATGTCTTTTTTCTACAAGGAGCTATCGAGCCTCAGAGAGCTAAGGTTGGTCTGAGAATGGAAAAGTCCGGTCAGCAAGGAATAATCAATGGATCATTATTTACACCTAAAACGAATACGTTCGCAGTGATTTAATGAATTAAGCGTTAATCAGTAAAAAAAAAATAAAAACAATATTTTTCGTCTGGGTGCGGCCTTTTTTGCCCAAATATAGTAATCCCTCCCTCCTGCCATCTTCCAGCAGTGACGTCACGGTGCGGTAAGCCTAGCGCCATTCTCCCCGCTTTACAAGCAAAATCAATGGGAACTACTAGACACATCTGCAATCAACAACAATTATTGAAGATTTCCAGAGGACTTCACCATTGAAATTCACCAGAGCTATAGTGAAACTGACAATGCCAACGTGCATGGCAGCTGGATGTTAGAATACATCGGGTAAAAGTGAAAAAAATGAGTTATTTCACCTTTCCGATTCATGATCCTCCATGGACCGCGTTGGATCGCCAACTTGAAGAGGGAGGATTTGCCATCGAACTTCTGGCCAGAGAAAAAACACGTAATATGTAGCCAACATTTGGAAGAAGAATGTTTTCAAGATGACTTGGATAATAGCGCGTTGTGACAAACACCAGATACAGCACTGGGACTTGATCAACAGCCGATACCGCACCGTGACGTCACAAACCAGTAGGTGGCAGTAGTGTTCTTTGACAAACATGGATGCCTCCAGTAAAGCACATTCACATGAAAATTACTCTTAATTAAAAACTATGATCATTTATTGAACAGTATGTAAGAATTTAATATATAAACTATTTTCAGAAATTTGTATTCTAACCGGACTTTTCCTTTAAAAACTGTTTTTTTTATCTTTGCGTGAAACATTTAGGTTTTGACTTTTCCAAGGCTTAGTGAGCTTCAGGTCATTTTCTTAAGTGGTTTATTTTCAGTATTTGTTCACATTTCCAGATAAGCTTATAACCAAACATCTTAGAAACAATGTGGCACCCCCACCCATGCAGTTTGGATAGGTTTCTTTTCTTTACCTCCATACATTTAATTTGTAGAATGTGGAATGTATATCTATATTATCTGTTTATTATGCTTTCAGGTCTTGAAGATGAAGGTTTTGAGATGCTTGATCAGCTGGCCTATTTATACCTGGCAAACAACAAGGTGAGCGATGCACCAGGATTTGAACTGCTCAGAAGCACAATGGCCTGTTTGTTCCTTTGTCCTCAAAATGACTCATCTGTGTTGTTGTGACGGGCGGACGGCGGTCGCTTGCGTCCCATGATTACTGTTTGACTGTTCAAAGCTGGTCAAAGCTAAAAAAAAAACGTTTGTGACCTTTCTAGACACGACAAGGGAGGGAGAAAAGAAGGACGGATCTGTGTGTTTCAGTAAGGACAGACAGGAAAACAGGATGCAGGAAGAATAGAGGATTTAAAAGTGCTCAATAAGCCTTAAAGACATCCGTGTTACTTTAATGCATAAACCCTGTTATTAAGGAGAAAGCTCTAAATGAATATCTAATCTGAAAAAGCTTCTCTGCCTTCTATATTCTCCCCCATTTTATACATTTTAGCATTGCTAAAAGCCTTGATTTATTAAAGGGATATTCATTTTTTTTTTGCGGTGAGGGCATTAAGATAATGTATATTTTATCTGCAGCAAAACAGACTATGGATGTATGTGAAATGATGGGAAAATCGTGCAATACCAATTAATTTTACACTGATTTCAGAGATTAAAACTATATGGATTCTTTACTCATAGACCTTTATTTATTGTCATTTGGATTATTATGGCTTATGAAGAATTAAACGCAAAGTTCAGTGTCTTAGAAAAAAAAGAGCTACATTACATAACTTATATTTTGTCATATCATTTTCTGATGTGCCTTCAGCTCACCTTTGCACCCAAAGTTCTGCCGCCATCTTTAGTCAGTGCTGATTTTGCTGCCAATCAGATCTCCAGGATCTACCCGTACACATTTGGTCATAAACCAAATCTGAGGTACCATCCTGTATGCCAATGGAGTCATTTTTGTTTGCTCTATATTTCAAAATCATATATCCTTCGTGTTTAATTGTTTACAGGTCTGTGTATCTCCATAACAACAAGCTGACGGACGAAGGACTTCCTGATCACATGTTCAATGCCTCCGACACCTTGGAGATCCTCACCATATCCAGCAACCTTCTGAGGGTTGTTCCCAACAATCTGCCACCCAGTCTTCTCCGCCTTCATTTGAAGGTCTAACACACTCAACAATAATAAATACTTAAAAAATATTTTCAAATACAAGAAGTTATAATATTTTTGAGGATAAATGCAACACAATGGGGTATGTTCCTGCATTCGTTGGCTGCATAACAAGGAATCTTCCAATCCGAACAGGCCATGGCGCCGCGCTATGACGTAATCAGACGATGAATCTGGCTTTTGGAAGAGGCAGCCGCTGAATTCGAACTCAGCACATTTTACAAACATTCTTTTGATAAATTTTGGGTCCAAGTTGGAGAAGAGTGACTGTGTTCTGTCAGATGAGCATACCCTGTCAATACCCATTTATCCCTTTAGTTAATCCCTTGAATTTTGTACGAAAAATAAACTTTAAACTACCTCAACAGGTGTGTATCCCTTTAGTCCTGTACAAACAATTTAATTTCTTAGTTTTTGTTGTTTTTTTATGCATATATATATTTTTTTTGTACGTAAAGGGATACACGCCCGATGAGGTAGTTTAAAGTCCATTTTTCGTGCAAAACTAAAGGGAATCATTAGTTTGCCTCCTCTGTTCCTGTTCGGCTGTGACTCGAAATATCAACACCTTTGTTTCTAGATGTTGGAGCTTGGCCTGTTTTTCAGTGTAGTCCTGTTTCTCTGACTGTGACTAACTGGATGTGCTCTCTTCATCCTCTGACATGGGAGTTTGCTCAGGGCTCGTCTGCCTGGCTGTTTACTTCCTGGACGGGGCCGCCTTTTACAGTTGCATTTTGTATCTCTGCTTCTGTCTCCTTGAACCCCAGTCTGCCTCAGCAGATGGCCGCTCACTCTGAGCCTGGATCTGCTGGAGGTTTCTTCCTGTTAAAAGGGAGTTTTTCTTCTCCACTGTCGCTACAAGCATGCTTAGTGTGAGAGATTGCTAAAGAGTCAATGAGTCGATGCAATCAACTGGTTTTCCTTAGATAGAAAACTTTGAATCAATTTGACTGGATGATCTGGTGAAATGTAAAGTGCCTTGAGATAACATGTTGGGAAATGGCGTTATATAAATAAACTGAATTGAATTGAATTTAAGGGATTGCGCATGCATATCGACTGTGGGTATACTCAGATTAATACAATGCTGTTGGCATAATGATCTCTTATTAACAGCAAAAAACTTCAATTGCTCAGGTTTGCTTTCAAAGTTGTTTTTGATAATGTAGCACAAAACATTTTTAAGTTAAATTAAGGCAAAACTACACTCAGCATGGTCTAAAAATGATTCAATTATTTTTAAAACTTCTCAAATTAAAACTGTTCAATGGAATGTAAGGAGTACACAGAAAAAATTGAAACATCAATTTACTTGGGTTAAATTTTGATACAGCTCCAAATGAAAAATGTGTATTTTTTTGGTTTGAAACCATGAATTTCACTTTACCTAGAATGTAAATGTAATGTAAAATCCCTTACAGAGGGGGAAAAACCCCAACCGAAACTAACGATTAGTTTAAAACGATGTTTTTTAATGTCCAACATGCCTACAGTTTATATATTTGGCATAAAATAAACCATTTTCCTATGTCACAGAGTAACAAGCTGGAAGAAATACCACCAGGAGCTTTAGGGGATTTACGAAACCTTAGAGAACTTTATCTGCAGAACAACCTCCTCACCAATGCTGGGATAGATAACGAGACTTTCAGGTGGGCTAAACACATTACTCAGAAAACCAAACCATCAAAATACTCTTTACTGCTAAAAGCGCAGATACAATCAACTGATTTGCTGCATCCCTCTCTTTGCAGTCAGCTGAGTAGCCTTGAGTATCTCGATTTGTCTAATAACAACCTGAGCGTCGTACCTAAGGGTTTGCCTCGCAACCTATTGCTGCTGCACCTGGAGAAGAACGCCATCCACAGCATCCCTGGAGATACTCTGGTCTCCGTGCGAAACCTTGAATACCTGCTCCTCCACAACAACAAGCTGCGCTCCCGCTCTATTCACCCTATGGCCTTCCAGGTAAATTTAAAAAACAAAAAGATTAAAATGTATTAGATGTTACCTGCTGTCTTCACTAGATAACAACAGTCTTACTGATGGATTTTGAATATTTTTTGTACCCACTAGGGCTTAAAGAAGCTTCACACTCTACATTTGTACAATAATTTGCTGGAACGAGTTCCCAGGGGCTTACCCCGACGAGCCAAGACACTCATGCTACTCCACAACTTTATCTCTGAAATTGGCCGCAACGACCTGTCCTTTCTCTACACCCTGACGGAGCTTAATCTCAGCTATAACAAACTGACCAACTCTAAGATTCACCGTGACGCCTTCAGGAAGTTACGTATACTGGAAACTCTGGACCTGTCCGGGAATGCTCTTCATGCAGTGCCCCTGGGTCTTCCTCCAAGTCTACAGATTCTAGAAATCAAGAACAATCGGATCAGTTTGATACCAGAAGGCGCCCTGACAGGAATGCAGAAGCTGAAAAAGTTGATTCTGAGTGACAATCAGCTGAAACTTAACTCAGCCTACCAAGGAGCCTGGATGGAGCTCAGTGCACTCACAGTGAGTGGTCTGCAGTAAAGCTATGCTGGTAACATGTTTTCTATTGTTTTAGCACAAGGTTTGATAAGAGTCCCTAAAAACATGATGCTTTAGGCTTCTTGGAGCTTTTCTTCCGATCACACACTGCAAAAATGATCTAGAAATAAGTAAAAATTTCTTAAAATAAGTGTAATTGGCCTTAATTTGAGCAGGTAAATAAGAATATTTAGATTTATTTATTTATTTGACAGGGACAGTGTACACTAATAAGTATTCAAATGCACCAGAATTAGCCAAAAGGCAATTTTTCATCTGTTGTCCCTGGAAAGATCTTAAAATTGTCTACCTAAATACACAACAAAAATACAAAAAAAGTAAAAAGAAACAAGAATAGCTGTTCAAAACTTGTTTAAAAATACAGAATTAATGTTCGCTAGACTACAGATTTTAGGTTAATAAATAGAATAAAACATTCAAATAAAAATAATTACTATATAATAATTATTATATAATACTATATAATAATTACATTAAATACACACATGTACATATACATACACATATACATATTGTTTGCCAATGGAATGAGTTTATTTACTCTTAAAATCAAATATTTAGATAATATGCACTCAAAAGTAAGACAATTTTTTCTTATTTTAAATGTAAATTGTATCGTTTCATTGGCAGTGTCCCACTTACCTCCTCAATTTAATAAAAAAACGACTTACTGAGATTAAATTTTTTTTGCAGCTCATTAACACATTCTGACTAGTTTAGTTGTATACTGGTACAGGGAAATTTTCTAAAAAAAAAGATAAAAAATGACCCCAAGCAGGTTTATTCTGTATTTCCTCTTTTTTTCACCCAAATATTTTAGATTAATATGATAAATATATGAGAAAACACTAAGTGCGATTTATAATTTCTTCAGCTAACAATCCAAGTCCAGCCTTAAAGGGGAACGCCGTTTTTTTTTTTTTACATTGGGCCCTTGATTTTACGTTATTGCTAGTGTTGCACCGATACTGATACCAGTATCGGACGGGGCCCCGATACTGCCCTAAAATGGTGGTATCGGTATCGGCGAGTACCAACAAATAGGGCACCGATACCATTTTGAGAGCCATAAGTTTATTTAACTATTGTCACCCACTCCTGGTAGGCAATACCAGGAGTATTGATGACATGATGCCATGATGGCAATTATTTTACATTATTATGGTATCGGTATCGGCTGATACTGCACAGCCAGGTATCGGGTATCGGTATCGGGGCCAAAAAATGGCATCGGCGCAACACTAGTTATTACATCATGTTCTACTCATCCATATGAGTTTTGTGTCAATTGGAGCCGTTCTGAAGATATTCTGTTAGGTTATATCCAAGTAACGTCTTCCTATGGGCAACGACTTGAAGGAACAAACTAAACTGTTCATAATTTATCATTTATGGTACACCAGCATTCATTACATGTAGGCCAATCACTATCCCCCAGACATCCGCGGTTATATTTTTTATGTTTATATTTTTTTTAAACAAAGCGGTGCGATATAACCTAACAGAATATCTTCAGAATTACACAAAACTTATATGGATGAGTAGAACATGATGTAATATCGTAAAATCAAGGGCTCAATGTGAAAAAACCGGCGTTCCCCTTTAAGGCACAATAAAACTGACCCCGTTGTTACGTCATGAATCCTCTTAAACACCAGCAGAGGTGAGTTTTACTGGCAATACAGATTATAATCCAGAATCATGAAAAAACACATGAATAGGAAAAACAAATCTGAAAAAGTAGAACATATTATACTACAGTGTAAAGAATTGCCCCCCCACCCCCCCCCCAAAAAAAGCAAAAAACAAATTAAGTTTATTTATAATAAAGTTATTTCTAAGGTTTCATGAAGCAAACAAAATGTGTTCCCAAAGAAAGGTAAGTGCTCCCAGAAATGGGCGGCCAACCATAATTACTCCAAGAACGCGATGATGATTTAGCCAGAGGAATGGAAAATAACCAGAACAACATAAAAATCCTCAGAGGCCTCTGTTAAACTGATCGTTTGGTTTTTTCTCCCTTTGTTTTATAATGAATATGAGTTCATTGAAAGAATCTTCTTCAGTTATTTTCAAAGGAAGAATGAGTTGGAAAATTAGATACAATGAAATAGTTAAAAAACTAATACATTTACAGAGGTATATATATTTATTAAATAAATAAGTATAATTTAATTGCGTTAAATAAAAACTGCATTTAATGGATTTATCAAAAAACATCGAGATTAAACATATTTTTTGGATTATGTACAGTGGGGAAAAAAAAGCTCATTATTCATGATTTGATCCATGAGTTCCAGGTCAAACCTGCTGTCTGATACGATGATAAATAAATAAAAAAAATAATAAAAAAGAAATGGTGCGAAATTAAAACCGCTTTTCTCTCAGAAATCATTTTTTTTCTTGATTTATGTTCATTTTTGGTGTTTTAAGCAGGGGTTATCTGTTCACTCTCTTATCATTCTCCTTTGTTGATTTTTTTTCTTCTTTTTTTCATTATTATTTTAGACATTGGACCTTTCTGGTAACCAGCTAACTCATATTCCATCTGACCTTCCTGAGTCCCTGGAGTACCTTTATCTGCAAAGCAACCGCATCTCCAGCGTTCCTGCTTCAGCTTTTGAAGGGACGCCAAACATTAAAGGCATCTTTCTTAGGTAAGAAAAGCACAAACATCTGCTTTTCTAATGATTATAATGTTCCTTGGTAGCAGCTGTCCATGACACTAAATCCACTACTTGCTGCATTGTTCTGGTTCCAGTGATTTTTGTGCAAAATGTCCTCAGCTTGTTGCACCTGAAATATTTCAGATTGTGGGTAGACTTCTCTTTGCACAAATATGCTTTCCACAAGCACTGGAATGTATGGAGTGAACTTGGTTCCATTATTATTTCAAGTAAAGAATATGTAGTGGAAACGGGAGATTTGAAAAAATAAATAAGATCCACATTTTGTAAATTAGAAGAGAAGTTGTAGAAGAAAAGGCAATCCAGAAATAAACCTTTGAAAAAAATACAGATTAAATGTACTGTTTTATGTTTTCTGTCATTTCAAATTATTACTATTTTATAGAAATTTGTTTCAAATGTCTTATTTTTTCCAAATTAAATTTTTCAAATAAATGTATATATACATATATATATATATATATTTTTTTTTTTTAAGGAATATTTATTTTCATATTTCATCTTTTCAAAAGACAGATTTTTTTCACATTTAAGTTTAGAAATTATATAGTTTTCATATTTTTTTAAACATCACATTCTTTTTACTTCTAGCCAAACAGAAACTTTTACTCGACCCATGAAATGTTAAAATCCATGCAGACAAAAAAAAAAAAAAACTCGACTCAAGCAGTGAAGAGAATCTTATCTGTAAAACACAATTTGAAAAGATACTAATTATAAAATTATAATTGAAAATATGAAATCACTTGAAAGAAAAATATGGAAATATAAAATCTGTAAGAGAATGTTTTCATAATGACAAAATTTGGGGAAAAAATATTGAAATCAAAAAGTAATTTAAAATAATAGGGTTTGAGAAAAAAAAACAGCAAAATTTCCTATTAAAAACTTTTCTAGTTTAATCTCAGGGTTAATTTTTTTTTATTTTCATTTTACTAAATATGTTTTTTTTTCTTTTGCATTTACATTTTTAAGATGTGCTCTTTGCTCGAAGCAATGGCACAAAATTTAATTCATAGAATTGTTTGGTATTTGGCCTATTAAAAACACACCTAATCTGGCAGCCTCGTTAAAGATTAATCAAAGGCTCCAATCTCCCCTAACAATCTTGACAAAACACAAACAGTGCAGCTCCTCAGCTGAAGCTCTTTTCTTTATAGTAAAAAACATTCTATTCAGTTCTTATTGACGTTTTTCTCATTAGAAAAGCAACAAATCACTTCTTTATTGGTTTCACTGGACCTCAGATCTGTAGTTTCAGTGTAGTTAAATCCTAACATCTTTTTTTGACAGGCTGAACTTTGATATAAATGGAGCATCACTCATCTTGCTGTCCCCTGCTTCTGACCTCAGCTCTACCTGCATGTGTTTTCTGGTGAGCCAGATTCAACTCAGATCAAGGCTCATCCCTCTGGGTTTGGGAAGGCAAAGTGTCCAAAGTTGCTTTTTGAGAAACCTGTTGTGTCCAAAATATTAATGAGTGGATGGTTTCCTATTTCGTCCGGTAATGCAGAAAAGATAGAAGTCGTTGGTTTAAGTTTCCAAACAATTAACGTTTGAAATCAGATTTGAACAAATGACTATAGGCCTAAAGGCCAGAAGCAACATGGACTCCAGAGCACTGGGATGACATCTCACCCGTCCTAAAATCAGCATTGACCTAGTTTATCGACGGACTTAAATCAAAATCTGGGATATTTATAAAGCTTTACAGCAAAGGTCTTCAACGTTTTCCAGGCCAAGGACCCTCAAACTGATGGCGAGATGGTGCGGGGTAGCCATCCTGATCTCGTGAGCTTTCAAGGTTTCACTCGCAGATCAGTCTGGAGACTCTCCGTTAAAGAAAACTTGGAGCCGTTCACCAAACGAACGTCCAATCAGCGTTGGCTTTGAGGCGGGTTGAGGTGTGACGCAACGAGAAGCGCGACAGTTCAGTCTAAAGAATATGGCGGCTTTAGCCGATGAAACTAGTGTTAGCGTGGCTATCGAGCAAGTTTTATCGTAATTACAGAGTATTTCTTCACTGAAAGAAGAGCAAAAACACTGCTCTGGAGGCTTTTCTCAGAGGAAAAGATGTTTTTGCTCTTCTCCCGACTGGTTTCGGCAAGATTTTGATCTATCAATTGGCTCCTCTTCGTCGTCACTCTGTTAGTACGTCATATGCTTCGTTGATCTGATTGGTTCATTTGGCCCGTCTATCACCAACATAGGCCAATCAGCTAACCAGTATTTTCACCCTTCCCAAAATTACTTCAACAGAAGGTTTCCAGATGGATATGCGGAGTCAGGTTAGGTGCGGGGACCCCCTTATTATATATATTATATGAAATTGTTTCCTATAGTCCCTCTATTACATATGGGGTAATGTAACGTAAGTAATCCCTCCCTGGGATTATTAAAGTATTTCTGATTCCTGGTTGATGGGACAGGTGTTGTGAATGAAACGGTGCCCAGCTTGAAAGAGCTCCTGTGTGTCGCTGAATTTGTGCATTGATGACTGACAGACATCTTCTGCCTCCATTTATCTGTTTACTACAGTCAGTTGAATTCATGTTAATGTGAATTTAAAGACATTTCAATTAGTGGAAAAAATTGCAGGGGGAATATAAAAAAAAAGTCTAATCAACCAAAACTTCCGCGACCCCCATGCAGTACCTCTGTGGACCCCCTAGGGGTTGCAGACCCCCTGTTGAAGACCTATATCTTCTAAACTAGAACTTAAATCATTGTTTGCTGCATCGTGTTTAGTAAGACCAAATATGTGTGATACCATTTCTTTGTCACATTTGCTTCAATTTTATTGTTCTAATATTTTTTGCTTGATTATGTATTTAATATTTGCTCACTTTTATATGATGCTTTATTTGTATATTTAATTTATTCTCTTTTCCTTTGTTTTTTTTTTCTTATTGCCCTTTGTATAAATGGTCCTGATCAAATAAACTTGCTTTGCTAGTTTACCTTGTTTAAAAGAGCAAGTTTGAAACATATTATCTATGTTCAGGACAGAAAACAGTGAGCTCAGCTGGAACTCCACGTCTAGTCAGGGATTTCCTGTTCATTCATCCGTTAAGCAATTAATTACTGTTGTGACTTTATGTTATTTAATATTAAATCAAATAACCTTTTCACTGTCATGTGCCGTCATCTGAGCACATGCTCAACTGGCTGTTTGTTAGGAAAACCAATAAAAGTGGGATTTCAGCTCAAATCATGTTCAAACAGTTACAGTAACTCTGCTCAAATATAGAAGAGATTTCAGTTTTAATAGTATCTGTAGAAACTTATATGCTGCTGACCTCTTTTCCAGGTCTGTCTTCTAACAGAGGTTTTAAATCTCAAATTTACTAACAAAATAATCATAAACTCCAAGTGGAACATATTTCAGTGAAAAATTCAACTTTACAAGTGAAACTCAAATAAGTTAGAGCAGGGGTCTTCAACCTTTTCCAGGCCAAGGACCCCTAAACTGATAATGAGATCTAGCGGGGACCCCTTAATTGTATATAGTGTATGAAATTGTGTTATATCAAACCGATCCTATAGTCACTGTATGACATATTGAGACATGTAACGAAAGTAATTTCGCCCTGGGATTATTAGAATATTTCTGATTTGGATGTGCATTGATAACTGAAAGACATCTTCTGCCTGAATTTATCTGTTCAATACATTGTGTTGAATTCATGGTAATGTGTATTTAAAGACATATTATTTATTGGAAAAAAAATTGCACAGGGGGAATATAAAAAAAAAGTCTAATCAACAAAACTTTTGCGACTCCCATGCAGTACCTCCGTGGACCCCCTAGGGGTCACGGACCCCCTGTTGAAGACCTCCGAGTTAGAGAACTTAACAGGTCAAATTAGCTTTTGATCCATCCATCCATCCATCCATCCATTTTCTGTCACGCTTTATCCCGGTTGGGGTCACATTATTTCCTTTTTCTCCATTTCAAGAATTTTTCTGTCTATATATATGTATATATATATATATATATGTGTGTATATATGTATGTATGTATATATATATATATATATATATATATATATATATATATATATATAAATATATAAATATATATATATATGTGAATATATATGTATGTATATGTGTATATATATATGACTGTAATTGATTAATTTGTTTATTAATTTTGCCATTAATCGATTACTAATCGGATAGCAAAGGTTCCTTAAAGAACACTTTTTTATGAAATTCAACTTAAACTTTATCTTTTTTACCTTAAATGCAAAAGGTGTACATATTTATTTGCACAATTTTCATATAACTACTGACCCCGCCTCTCGGCCTTAGACAGCTGGAGAGCCCAGGCTTGGGATAAGCTTTACGAAAAATGGATGGATATAACTTCTGCTAATTATTAATTGATTACTAAATTAACTTACGTCTATGTCATATATATGTTTTTTATATATATATGCAATTTTTTTTTATTAAAACCACATTAGGGTTTTTCTGTAGATTTATCTCATGTTGACCCTTACAGTATTTTTGTTTACATTTGTTTTCATTTTAACCATGCTGGTCTGTGTGGCTATTCTTTTTTCTATTATATGAAATGGCGGCAGCCTTAGGAAAATAAAACTTTTCCTTTCAGGAAGAAGCTGTTGTCTACAAGCTTATGTTATTCTCCATTCTGTTGGTATTAAAACCAAAGCACCATCTCCAGGGCCTTTGGCCTTCATTTTGTTGAGTACTGCAATATGGTAGCTAATCTCTCCATCTCCACTAACTTGAGTGCATTCAGGAAATATTGTGCTTTGTGTTATTCCACATAGTGCTGAGCTTATAGGCCCTGAAAGCAGCGGTCAGACAAGAGTTAAGAGGTTTTTGAATGTGTGCTTTCAAGGCTTTTGTTCTGGTTTGGTTCCAGTGTGACCTTAACCTTGCTGCTTTATAGCTGGTTCTTATAAGCTTTGACCCCGTCTGGATTTTGCATTTGGTATGATTATCATATCCTCTGATACGTACCAAACATATGGTCTGTAACAGCTGAGAACCATGGAGTGCTTGCAGCAGAAGGGAAATGAAAATAATAGTTTGGAATTGCAAATAAATCAAGGTGCCAGATGATTAAACTTAATTTATCCACATGCACATAAAATGTTAAACTGGTAAAAATTGATGACACTAAGCTCAACACCTGTGTGAATAAATAGTGTGGAAAGTATTTTTGTTAGGCATATGTTAGCAATATGCACCAGCGTCACTAAACACACTTGTTTAATCTGTAAATGCTTTGAATGTTGATTTCAGGGTCTTCCTGCAAAGGAAGAACACATTAAACTCGCTCCTCTGTTTTTGGTTTTCAAGGTTCAACCGGCTGTCTGTGGACTCCATAGATGAGAGCTCTTTCTCACACCTCGTCAACTTGCAAGTGCTGGACTTCGGGACAGGAAACCCTGAGCTGTCCTTCAAAAAGGAGGAGGAGGAAGGTGGCGAGGAGATTGAGCAGGACAACTAAAATGGCTGCATGTTGCAGAGGACAGAGCAGGCTTTCAGAAGGGACAGAACCTTTTTTATATCTCCATCCTAACGTCATTCTGAGATGCACAGCCACATAATTCTGGTGCAGGACACCAGATTAAAATCCACTTTATGGAGCAGGTGGTATTAGAAATGTTTTAAGCAGAACTTTATTATTTGGGCTTGATTGTTCAAATGCGGTCTGTGTTTTTGTTCTTTTAAAAGAAAATTATACATTTCTGAAACATAATGTGTATTTTCCAACAACAGTAATCTATGTCTAAATCTAAAAACTTTGGTGGTTTTAGATCAAATTTAGCAGTGGAGTTCTAAGGTTGGGCCAGTGCTTTCATAGCGACACAGAACGAAAGAATAACACAAAAATCAGAGGAATGGCACATCGTTTGAGATATTGAGTGAACCAAAGCGCCACTTGCAGCTCGGAATACCTTAAATATAGCCGATGGAACCTGTGATTATATCTCTCTACGACTGAAGCTAAAAGTACAGCTTAATTTTGACATCTTCAGTAAAATAAAACTGTAAAATTAAAAACTGGTCTAAGGGACCTAACCTATGCCGTTTATGTGCCAGCACATATCATCAATTATTTCCCATGAATTTATTTAGAATTTAGGGCCAGGACAAGTTCATCAGCACCATTGGCCCCCGTTGGCTCCAGTCTAGACAGAAGAAGAGACGTTATTACCATGCAACTTGTGCACACTCATAATAAATATACATTTTAATATACAGCTTTATATAAAACACACATGTAAATGACTCCCAAACTTTGAATCTATAGTACCGTTAGCAAAGCATCTTTAAACTAACAGCTAATCTCTTCAATGGTACATTTCTGACTTCATATCCAGCAGCCATATCTTTCATCAACTGGCAACTTTATAAAAACTACGGTGCCTAGATGTCCCCGATTTCTGGGCACAGGTGGTCCAAAACGGTAACCTGACTCCGCCAGATGGATTTGCTCCGCATATCCCTCTGGAAACCTTCCGTTGAAGTAATTTTGGGAAGGGAACGAAAATACTGGTTAGCTGATTGGCCTATGTTGGTGATAGATGGGCCAAATGAACCAATCAGATCAACGAAACATATGACGTACTAACCTACTAACGAACAACCACAAGCCAGTCGGGAGAAGAGCAAAAACATCTTTTCCTCTGAGAAAAGCCTCCAGAGCAGTGTTTTGCTCTACTTTCAGTGAAGAAATACTCTGTAATTCCGATAAAACTTGCTTGATAGCCACGCTAACGCTAGTTACATCGGCTGAAGCCACCATGTTCTTTAGACTGAACTGTCGCGCTTCTCGTTGCGTCCCACCTCAACCCGCCTCAAAGCCAACGCTGATTGGACGTTCATTTGGTGAACGGCTCCAAATTTTCTTTAACGGAGAGTCTCCAGACTGATCTGCGAGTGAAACCTTGAAAGCTCGCGAGATCAGGATGGTCTCACGAGGCTACCAAAACGGGGTCTTTCTCCAGAAATAGGGGACATCTCTTATTACTATAGAAAGAGAGTGTTGCGCACAGAAGCAGCTGTTGCGCTGCTGTTAACATAAAGGAACATCAGGAATAGAGTGCACTGCTTTTAAAACAGGAGGAAGAAGGATCTCATAGGGAGATGTGCTATGTTATGGTGAATGTTTTAATCCATTCATTTTATCTGGATTGGGTTGATCATTGTGATAAATATTTGATTCAAACGCAGGTAAAAAAAATCAAATAAAAAATAGGGCTTCAATATGTTAAAGATGAGGGGTCTGTTTACTGAACCTGCTTTTTCCTGAGTGGACATTAGAATGGATTAAATTATTGACAGCAGCAGTTGTGAAACTAAAAACCCAGAGTTACTGATCTTAGGCTAGTTTTAGAGTTGAGGATTTGAATCTGAGTTTTTTAAACCTGACTCATGAAACGGATCTCAGCTGCTGCTGAATATAGCTGATATATCGCCACTCGCACAGACACATTAGAGACTGGATCATTGCACACTGCAGTGGTGTCAAAAGTAAACACATTTGTAATTAAGTAAAAGTATACTGCAGTAAAAACACTCTGGTAAAAGTTAAAGTATCAACTTGACCTCTTTACTCAAGTAAAAGTGAAAAAGCATGTGCTCCAAAAACGACTTAAATATATAGGTATAAAGTAACCTTTAAAAAAACAACCAGATGCCACTATTTGAATTAAAAGCTCAATTTTTCGACTATTTCTAAAAATCCTTTGAGATAGTGCCAAGGATGAGGGAGGTCTTGTTGGTCTCTGTCTCCCGATACGCTCTCGCCTGTGTCCGACCTTTCAGACATTTCAACATCTTTTTCTGAATCCCACATTGTAGCATGGCATAGACAATTCACGTTAGCAGTTTGAAGAACACCTGCTTGCTTCTGATGGTTTCCTTTAGCTAGTTTTCACTAGATGTGGATGGAGCCAATGATCTGCAATGGATGGAGCACATGATGTGAAATAAATATAAACATTAAACCAAAGCCAAGAGTAACGAGTAAAAAATGTAAGGAATACAAAGTAGAGATACTTGTGTGAAAATGTAATGAGTTTAAGTCAGAAGTAGGAAGAAAAATAAGTAATGGAGTAAAGTATAGATACCTAAAAAGTGTACTTTAGTACAAAGTATTTATACTTCATTACTTGACACCTCTTACTGTTAGATAATAAAATTGAAATGTTAGAAAAATAGTAAAGTATTTGCTTCAAAAATGTTTTGTGATCATAAAAAATGCTTCAGTGTGATTTATTTGGCTCAAATTAATGCATAAAAGCAATAACCACTATTGGACATAATTTAGAACATTTGGAGAGGTCTGAGAGGCTGGTGACACCAGAAGTTCAAAGTTCTATAGCTCTGGAACTGTTACACCTAGAGGTCCGAAATGTTTTGCAGTTGTGGTTGACATGATGCAGAATAAATGTAATGCAATGGCACATACCTATTGTCAAGCATGTCTTTGTTACTGCTTTAAATTTACCCATTATTTTTGGGAAGAAAATCTCCTGTACTATGATTCTTTATTATTATTAATAATAAAATATATTTTACCAGAATAACCCTAGTAGCATGAGCTCAGCATACTAATCAGCCAGACACACACGGATTAATCAGATTATCCAGAAATGAAAGGAGACAAAGGAGCTGCTGAAGTTTAGGAAGTTGTGGAGCTGAACATAGAAGCCGTGAGAAATGAAATCTGCTTCTCTGAGATGCGCAGGGCCCTGATGGGTCAGTAGTAATAAATATCATCCTTTACCAGCAGGCTTTGACCGTTACTTGTTTTTGATCCATGTTAACACAGAAAATCATCTTCAAATCCATAGACACAGTTCTAGTTTTCTATTAATAACAATATCCATTTATTCACTTATTAATCATGGGAAATGCAAATATCATGGAGAGGTACATTCCTGCCTTTTTACACCTTTAACAAAAATATTATTAATTAAATGTATATTTAAATTCAATTCAGTTTATTTATATAGAGCCAATTTACAACACATGTCATCTCAAGGCAATTTACAAAGACAATTCAACCAGATCATGAAGTAAGATTTCAAAGTTCAAAGTTTTCTATCTTTGGAAAACCAGTTAATTGCATCGACTCATTGACTCGAAGGCAATCCCTCACCCCAAGCATGCTAATAGCGACAGTGGAGAGGAAAAACGTTTTAACAGGATGTAACCTCCAGCAGAACCAGGCGCAGTCTGAGCGGCCATCTGCCGAGGATTAGGAAACTGGCCAATTCCTGACCCAGTTTCCTAATCTTACCTTGATATTCTTGTTATTTACAAGCTGGAAATGTCCTGAGATTGGATTTCAGACATGTGGTCACCTTCATAGAAACAACACTGGAAACAAAATAAAAATGCTAAAAAGTAGCCCCAAATTGGTTATGAATGTAAATGTCAGTGTTCAACTATGAAAGAGTTCAATTAAGCCTTACTTTCCTTAGCATAAACAGTGAAGCGACAATTAGCTTAGCTCATGCAAAAATAATCCTAACAATCATTTTAGTGCACATGGCTACAGCTGTCAGTACACGTTCAAGTTATTTATTGAGGTACTCTTTAAGAGAACAGCTATTAGACTGAAGATGCTTTGCTAACATAGCTAGCTGCAACAAGGAAGAAAACAGTGTCACTACCCGATCTGTCCCAGAAGCACGATCTTTTCTCTGCATGCGCCATCAGCTCCCTTGCGCATCCAGATATTCATGCGGGTCACCCTTGATATTATTTTGTTAAAAAGACATAAATGACGTTTTACCCTTCCCAAAAGTAGTAAGCGTACTAAAATATAATGTGTTTAAAGTTATTCGATCTGCACCGAAAATGGGATCATACGCTACTTCCAGTTGCTAACTTTTTCGGCTTTGGATTTAAACATAAATTTAGTCTTTTTGAGTTTTATGTTTTCGTTTAGTTTTAACATTATGGTATATAGTGCATAATCTAAAGAAAGAAACAACTAAAATGCAGATAAACATGGTTTAATCATATTTTGCGGGCCTGCTCTGAGCATGTACAGAGAAGCAGTTTAATGAAGAAAATGTAAAAAGCATCAGAATTGTTTCACAAAATTCATAAAACTTTTTTAAAGATGTATATTAGCATTCTTTTGTGAATTAAGGATAGAAATAAGTAATTTTAGTACAATAATTACATCATATAAGGACACCCGGATGTGTATCTGTTCGCGAATGCGTAGGACGGATCGTGCTTGGCGGACAGGTCGGATAGCGACAGGCAGGATTACCTGAAAAGCAGCCAATCACAGGCTGTGTACTTTTTCAGGTTGGTTTCAAGAAACAGGTTCATAAAAAGCAAAGAAGAATCTACAGCCGTATAGAAACCAAGAGAAGGAGCATGAACTCCTGGTTGTCATATATTGAGGGCCTTATTTCATGGTGCATGCATAAAATGTCTAAAATTCACATGAGGAGCAGTTAACGTGTTTTAAATAGAACTGCTATGAGTATTTATTACATGTTTGCACTTGGCAGAATTATTATTTCGTAAACATTAAGAGTCTGTTAAATTTTATGAAGCCAGAATGAAAAAGGAATAAATATCTATCTTTTTTTCCCAGTATTTCAGCTGATTGCTTTGATTTTGTGTTCAATCCAAAGCTTTCTGGCCAGATTTGCTTGTCTAAAAAGAAATACTAAGTTCAGATAAACTGTTGGACTTTCTCCCAGTGTGTGATCATGAGGTGAAACAAATGTTTTCAATATGTTTCTGTCAACGGCTCCCATTCCATGTTTACATGCCAGGACATTTGACTTTCATGCTTTGCCATAGAGTTCAGCTTTGGAGTCACTTAATTACAGGTTCAGTAACGGAGGAAAAAAAAACCCTCCATGCTAGATATAGTTATCGTCATTAAAACAGCAATCACATATCACAAAAGCAGAAAAAAAACACTCTTCTTGCTTCTTCTAAAGTAGAGGTCATGCATCACAAGTAAGCACGAATATTTATTGATGAATTCTTTCCAATATATCAAACATTTCAAAACCTTATTAATCCCATTTGATCTAAAATTGT